TGGGGGAGGGCACGGAGGAGTCTGAACACGTGCTTCTGTCTTCCCAGTGTCTGCCGAGGTGGAGCCTTCAACTGCTCCCTCGATGACTGTGAGGGTGAGATGCGGGCTGTCCGGCCCCTGCTGGTCCCTCCAAAGCCCACCCGCCCCACCCACCCTGGGCAATGCTACCTCCTCCGGGAAGCCCCTCCCGCCATCTGTCCGCACTGCTCAGCCTGGTGCACCCTGGGAGGTTGGGGGCATTGGTCAGGTGTGCCGTGTGCACACCGAGCCAGGGCTGTGAGTGACACAGGAAGCGGAGGGTTATTTCCAAGCAGATGAGGAAACTGAGGTCTAGAGGGTGAGCTGAAACAGGACCCTTGTCTGGCAGTCCCCACGCAGAGGCGTCGGCCCTGTGCTGTGTTGTCCCATCCGGTGAAGGTCGACGGGCCTTTCCTAAGGTCCCATATGTGCCCAGCTCTGCCACAGTGGGCTCTTTGTGGATTCAGAGAACCCTGGGCACCGCCAGCCTGGCAGCCGAGGGCAGGTGGAGCCGGGACAGTCTCTGGCTCACTGACAAGCGAGCGGCACCCACAGGGCGTGAAGTTGGTGCTGCAGATGGAGCCGTCGGGGTGGACGGGACTGGTCAGGGGAGGCTTCCTGGAGGAGGCGAGACCTGAGCTGGGCGCCAGAAGTGTTTGGGAGGGTGGATCGGAGTCGAAAGGTGTGCGTGGAGGCCTAAAAGTCCAGAGGCTGCCGGAGCTATGTAGACAGTGCTGTGGAGCAGAGACGGGGTGCAAGGGGCGCCCAGTGTGGAAGCGGGGAGGACAGAGGCTGGACCCGGCACTGACTCGAGTGCTGGGGTGGGCGGTCTTCCCTGGCAGAGTGCCCCCCTGGGGAAGTGTGGCAGCAGGTGGCCCCTGGAGAGCCGGGGCCCTGCGAGCGGACGTGCCAGGAGCTCGATGCCACTGAGGCCCAGGGCAACTGCAGCGCGGGGCAGGCCCAAGGCTGCGTGTGCCGGCGCGGGCACTTCCGCAGCCAGGCAGGCCCCTGCGTGACCGCAGACCGCTGTGAATGCTGGCGCCACGGGCGTCCCCACCCGGTGAGACACCTGGGCCCCGCCGTGCCACCTGGCCCTTCTCAACCCGGCCTCCCTCCCGTCCCTACTCTGGGCCCCCAAGGCCCGCCTCCCCCCTGAAATTCTTGTTGCCAATGCCAGCCGCAGCCCTTTGCCCTGGCTGGGCCCCCAGGCTGGGTTTGGGGTGGGGTGGCTTTGCAGAGAGCCCACAGGTGAAGAGACAGAGGTGGAGCCAAGCGTCCGCCCTCTGCTGTCCCCAGCCCGGATCCGAGTGGCAGGAGGCCTGTGCGAGCTGCCGCTGCCTCGGTGGCAGGAGCGTCTGCGCCCAGCACTGCCCGCCGCTCGCCTGTGCCCAGGTACCTGCCCGCAGCCCTGCCGCCCTCTCCGGGCTCCCCGACTCCCACCTGGGTCCCTCCCTGGAGGCCGGTCTGAGGGCCCAGGGCGGGGACTGCTCTCTCTGCAGGGCGAGGTGATCGTGCAGGAGCCAGGGAGCTGTTGTCCCTCTTGTCACCGGGAGACTCTTGGTATGGAGGGGACCTGGGGCGCCTCCTGCTGCTCCTCTGCCTGCTCCGGGCCCCTCGTTCCCACCCTGGGAGACCTGCCTTCCCCAAACCTGCCCCCATGGGGATCGGCAGAGTGAGGACCCTGGTGCTGCACGTGGAGCCAGGGCCCCCCCAGCCCCACGTGCTCAGGTCTACACTCTGTGCCCTTCGTAGAGCCCCCCGCCCCACCTCCGCTCACAGCCTCTCCCTCTGCCCCACCCCTACCTCCTCCCCACAGCGGAGCGGTCAGCCTCCTGCCAGCGCCTCACCGAGCTTCGAAACCTCACCAAGGGCCCGTGCTACCTGGACCAGGTGGCAGTGAGCTACTGCAGCGGGCACTGCCCGTCCAGCACCAATGTCATGCCTGAGGTCAGCCTAGAACCTGGGCAGAGCCCAGAGCACATGAGAGGCACGGTCTATCTCATGGGGAGACAGCTGATCAGAGCCGGAGCCGGGGGCCAGTCTTCGCCAAGGACTGGCCTACGCCTGCTGCTTGGCCCGGCGACCCTGGGTGGGGTGCAGCTCCGGAGCCCACTGTGCACCTCCACCCCTCTACCTCTCCTGCTGTGGTCCCACGCAGCTCCCAGCATGCTCCTGGGCAATCTAGCGGGAAGACAGCAAAGAAAGGCACAGCGGGGCTAAGCGGGCTCTGAAATCAAGGCCGTCAGACAGTGAGGGAAGCTCCTGGGGACCGACTCCTGCCCCAGACACTCGCGAGTCCCTCTGGAGCACCAACGAGGCTCCGCCCTGCACGGACTCTCCTTGGACCCAGAAGGCCGGGCCCTGCAACTTGTGGGGACCTCCCCAGGACTCTATGCCCACCCAACTCCCGGTCCCTGAGCCCGGAGTCCTGCGGCTCCAGGTCCATCCTGCCAGGGCCCAGCCTTGGCTCCTGGCCCTGCCTCGGGTCCCCGGTGGGCATCCCGCCCCGCCTCGGCCCACCTGAGCCATCTATGCCTCGAAGGCCAAGGTGCATTCCTACCTGCTTCTCCACCCGGGGCCACGCTCCTGCTTCCCCGGCCATTCCCTGCGCCTCCTGGAAGTGCCTTCCCAAATCACGTTTGGACGTCTTAAAGCATAGAGCCGGGAAAGGAAGTGAAGAGGTTTTTTTCTGAGGAGGAAAAATCAGTGATAGCGGAATAGACATCAAAGGGAGTTTTTTTTTCTTTAGTGAATCTTTTGTAGTTTTTAAACCTATTCTAAAATAAATTAGAGTAGAATTATGCGTGCAGTTAAATCAAACATTCGGTGGGACTTACACAGCGTTACTGTATCAGCGCAGAGCGAGAAGGTTCCGCTCAGGCGCCAGAGCTCACTTTGCACTTAGGATCAGAACTGGGCAGCTCGGGGCTCCGTTATCCGCGGTCTCACAGGCTAGTCTTCTGTCCCTCCCGCCAGACTGCAAGCCCCTCGCTGGAGAGGTTGTGTCTTTTCCCTCTCTTGCCAAGAAGCATGTTGAAAGGATTTGTTTAAACTGTTTGATACTCAGACGGGTGGGGGCCGCCGTGAAGGAGGTGGGCTTCTTGGAGAGCGGGGACTTGGTGGTGACACACCCTTCCCAGCTGGCTGCCCTGCTGGGCGAGGAGCACTGGATCTGGCCCGCCCTCGGCCCCAGGCCCTCTCGGATGGAAGAGCCAGGAGAGGGCAGGAGGGCGGTTTGGGCAGACTCTGTCGGGCCCTCCCCAGCTCCGCCACCCTCCTCGCCAGGAGCCGTACCTGCAGAGCCAGTGCGACTGCTGTAGCTACCGCCTGGACCCCGAGAGCCCCGTGCGGCTCCTGCACCTACGCTGTCCGGGCGGCCACATGGAGCCTGTGGTGCTGCCCGTCATCCACAGCTGCCAGTGCAGCGCCTGCCAGGGTGGGTCTGGGCCAGGGCGGGGAGGGTCCTGGCCTGGGTTGGGGAGGTGGGCCATGGGCACCTGGGCCTGGGTCTGGGCTGGCCCAGGGTGCAGGCGGGGGCAGGGTCCCGAGGCGCAGCCCCCGCTGGATTCTTGGTCTGCGTCCTGCCTTTCAGTCCGTTCCTCTTCTCTGCAACCCTGTTGATCTTTCCTCCGATCGTGCGTCGGCTCGGGTGTTTGCCGTCCGTCCACGGTGCCTGGTTCAAATCCCAGCTTCCCTCTTGCCCTTCTTGCTGAGCCTCCCTGACCTCATTTTCACAGCCTGGCTGGGAGGACTCCGTGAGAGCCAGCCCAGCGGGAGGGCCTGGCGGGTGCCTGGTTCTTGTTAAGTCCCCGGTATGACATCCTGAGGCCACAAGAGCTGCCTTTGCTCTGGGCTCCTTCCTGGCAGTTTGTCCTTCCTCTTCTGCCGGCTTGGCTCGTTCGCTTCCCTCTCCAGCCCCTCCCCTTCCCTGCCTGATATTCTGCTTCTTTTGCTAGCTCATCTCCCCCTACTTGTCCTCCAGGAGGCGACTTCTCAAAGCGCTGACAGCTCTCCTGTATGAGGCTGCCCTGCCTCGCACGTGATCGCCAGGCTCAGCGGCGCCGACCCTCGCTCCCATGCCCGCCGTCCATGCCAGGCCCTGGCACTAGCAGATCCCAAATAAAGTGACATTGGTGGCAAGCACGTGTACAGAGTCTGCGTCCAGGGGCCCAGGGGGGAAGGGGAGGGAAGGCAGCTGCCCGCCCCGGCCTGGACTGCCTCCCGGGGACCTCCGTGAGTCGGCTGGTGAACTTGGACAGATCGCTTCCCATACCCGAGCCTCAGTTTCCTCGTCTGTGGCAGGTGGAGCATGAGGTCGGAAGGCCTCTGCTGTCGGACACCTCTCACGCCCCAGGCTGTCCCCGTCACCCCATGCAGCTTCCACCGCGGCAGAGGTGGCATTTCCGCGCAAGCCCTGCCATCTCGTGCTGACGTCTGCTTCTCCTCTTTTTAAACACTTGAGTCGACGTATAATTTCTGTACCACGAAATCCACCCATTTTAAGTTTACACTTCAGTGACTTTTGCAGAAAAACACCAAGTTGTCCACTCACCGCAACCCAATTTTAGAGCATTTCCATCATTTCACGCCCATGTGCAACCAATCCTTCCCACCTCCGGCCCCAGGCACCCACTGAACTGCTTCCTACCACAGTAGATTTGCCTTTTCCGGGCATTTTACATAAATGTCTGGCTTCCTTTGATTGGCACGTTGATTTGAGGTTCATCCACGTAGCGTGTGCAGCAGCTCGTTCATTTTGGATGTGAAGTCGTTATCCATCGTGCGATAGACCACGTTTTGTCTCCCCCTTTGCCAGTGGATGGAGTTTGAGTGGTTTCATTTTTTTTTGCTGTTTTGAAGACAGCTGCTATGAACAAGTCTTTGTGTGGGCATATTTTCATTTAGTTTGGGTGTATACCTGGGAGTGGAAATTGCTGGGTCGTATGGTAAGTGTATGTTTAACTGTTTAAGAAACTTCCAAAATGTTTCCCAAAGTGGATACACTGTTTTACATTCCCCCCAGCCTTGTGTGAGAGTTCCAGTCTCTCCACATCCTGTCCAGCACTTGCTATTATCCTATCTGTCTTTTTCACTTTTTTAAGTAGCCCTTCAGTGCATAGGAAGTGGTATCTAATCGCCATTTCGATTTGCATTTCCTTAATGACTAAGGATGCCGAGCATTTATTTCTTCATGTGCTGATTTGCCGATTGTGTGGCTTCTTTTCCAGCTTCTTTTCTTTCTTCCCCGGGGCTTTACAGACACAGAGCAAATCCACGTGGCCTTTGCACAAGCACAGCTAGGAGTAGATGTGTGAGGACGGGATGGGATGTAGTTCACACCTCTTGGGACGACCCTCACCTACTGGGGATGGGAGCTGCAGATCCCCAATGTTTGCACAGACTTTTTTTGGGGGGAGGCGGGGAGGGAGGACATTCTGTATAATTCCCAGAAGTGGAATGAAGACCCAATGCCCGGAGCAGTGATCCCTAAAATGCGCCCCGCTGTCAGCATTTCATCTTCCCCGCTTTGCTCTCCCAAGTTCCAAGCTCTGCCCTCTGGGATCGCTTTCTAAGACCAAGTCCTTGTCTCCGGCTCTGCTCTCAGGGTGGGGTGGAGCAGGAAAGAACCAGGCTGGGGTCCCAGTGATCCTGGGCATTACCTTCCCTCATATTCCTCAGACCGCCCCCACAAAGGAGAGTCCCATTCAACTACAGTTATTGGTAAAGGGGAGAGAGCCAAAGGGAGAGAGGGAAAAGAAGGAGGATCTTTGATTGATTAATTGGGACACAGGAAGGGTGACTCTTGTGTGAGCAACGAGAACTTGAATTGTTCTAGGTGAGTCTCTGAATAGGGGCCTGTTGTGCCAAGCCACGAAAATCTGGTTCCTTCACACCTGGTGTCCTACTCCCAGTCTCTAGGAAATCCAAGTCCTGGATCCATACTGAAATCCATCTTCTCTCTCCTGTACCTGAGTGTAATGCTTTGAGAGAGCATCGCCCCAGGGAATTCAGTGATATGTCCTCTAGGAGGCCAGTGGCAATGCCAGTGGATGAGCCTGGCAAATGTCAGGATGCACCAGGGATCCACTGTGGCAGAAATGGCAACAAATCCCTAACGTGAGACAATAGAGACCAATGGGCATGGGCAACCCGACCCAAGTGGCATCTCTGTGGTTGTTTCAGTTAGCTGTTGCTGTGTAACAAATTTCCACAAACTTAGAACAACTCCCCTTTGTTATCTCGTAGTTCTCTGCTTAGGGTCTCACAAAGCCAAAAATCGAGGTTTTGGCCAGAAGAGGCTCTTATTTGGAGGCTCTGGGGGAGAATTCACTTTCAAACTCATTCAGGTTGGCTAAATTCCATTCCTTGCAGATGATGGGCCGGCTGCTGCCTCTGGGCAGACGGCACGGGGTGGATCACACACACCTGCTCTGAGTCCCAGAGTTCCAGAGTTCCACGCAGCCTCCTGGCTCCCCTCCCTCTCCTCCTAGTTGCTCGACTTACATAATTCCTGTGTTATCCACACAGGGGTACACACTGTCTCTCATTCTTTCTCAGTAATGCAGATTCCCTTAGCAGTGAGTGTACCTGGCAGAGGGTGGCTGCTCAACGCATACAAAGCTGTGGACTGAATTGTGTCCTCCCCGCCAAATTCATATATTGTGGCCCCAACCCCCAATGTATTTGAGAATAGAGCCTATGAGGAGGTTATTAGGTTAAATAAGGTCATGAGGGTGGGGCCCTGATACGATGAGTGTTTCTATTAAAAGAAACACCAGAAAGCTAGTTCTCCGATCTCTCTCCCAAAGTACACACAAAGATGATGTCCTGTGAGCACACAGCGAGTTGGCAGCCACCTACATGCCAGGAAAAGAGATCTCACCACAAACTAACCATGCTGGCACCCTGATCTTGGACTTCCAGCCTCCAGACCTATGAGAAAGTAAATGTCTGTTTTAAGCCACACAGTCTCTAGTACATTGTTGAGACAGTCTGAGCTAATACAAGGTCAAATGTCGCAGTTCTGCCCACAAATTGAATCTCTCTCAATCTTCTTGTTGACCCTGTGAGTCAGTTCAATCCTGGCCAGGAGAGCAGGGTCACATAATTGAAAGCAGTTACTTGGTACCTGCTCAGGGGTCTATTTAACATATTTCACAATCAGTAAGGCAATATATATTAATACAAAATTTTGAATGTAAACTGTATTTTTATTTAAAACTTTGAATTGTGACTTAAAACACACACAAAATTCCATAAAACATAAATGTACAATTTAATGAATAACTGTCAAACAAACATCAGGGTCTAGAAATAGAACACTGTCCTCACCCCACCCTCCAGTGGCACCTTCCTAACCACACCTGTCTTCCTGGCTCCTAAAATTAACTTTATTGAGGTCTTTATAATAATTACTTCTTTCAATTTTTGTAGTTTCCTCTCTATGTATACATACTGGGAGGGCCACAGAGAGCTTTCTGGAATGCTGGAGATATTCTATATCTGCTCCGTGTGGTGGCTACATGGCACACATGTAAAAATACATCAAGTTGTACACTTAAGATTTCTGCACCGTACTGTATATTATTTGTGCTACTATTATACATATTACATCCATATATTTAAGACTAAACAATATGCCGTTATAATTATTACTTTATGTAATTTTATATTTTTTAAAGAACATGAGAGGAGAAAGGAGAACAAGTATATATTTATAGAGTTTGGCTCTCTTCTAGTCTTTGCCACTTTAAATTCATCCTCTACTCTACAGTTGGACTGATCTTAATAAAGTGAGAATTTGCCTACACCATTCGCCAGCTTCAAACTCATTTCAAACTCCTAAGGTAGCTTCAGTGCCTTCCACATTCAACTCCGGTGTATCTCCCCAGCGTCATTTCCTGGTGTCCCTTCTTAAAAGGGCACTAATCCCATCGTTAGAGCCCCACGTTCATGACCTCATTTAAACTTACTTACTTCCCAAAGGCCCCATATCTAAATGCGATCACACTGGAGTTAGGCCTTCAACATACGAATTTGGGGGCCGGGGCACAATTCCATCCACAGAACCTCTTTACTTGGCTAATTCGTACCTCTTGTTTCAATTCAGCTTAAGCGCCACCCCCTCAGGAATCCTTGGCTAACCACCCCGTAGCTTCCCACCGACGCACTCCAAGGGGAAGAAGCGTGCTTTACAAGGGTCTTCTGCTTCTCCCTCTCATTGTATGTGTCTATTTTGTCATTATCTGGTTTCTGGTTTGTTTCTCCAATACTCGATGAGTGTCGTTTCATTCATCTATGTATTTCCAAACCTTGCACAATGCCTGGCACATGGTAGGCAACCAATGATGTTTTTTAAACTAATGTAAGAAGAAGCATTGCCCTCCCTGATGAGCTAAAGTTTGGCACCTTCGAGGATGACACTGGCCCTGAAAATGCGAAGGAAACAGGCGCAAGAACAGGGACTCTCGTCGCCCAAGCAGAGCACGTTGCCCTCACCGCGGGGCCCCGAGAGAGCGTCGCGAGGCCGTTGCCTGCGACGAAGGCGGGAAGGACAGAGAGCGAGCGGCTCGGTGTCCAATCAGAACCCCGCATTCCAGGAGCCAAT